AAGGTGAACCACAGGGAGTGGGAACAAAGGTCTGGTGCCTGGACCTGGAGGCCACAAAGGTCTGGTGGCTGGACCTGCAGCTCCACAAGGGTCAGTCCTCCCTCTGGCTGCAGTCCCTGGCACAGGGTGGGCCTATTGTTTATGTTGACGGAGAGGCTGGGTTGGCTTACTGTGGACCTGAAGGAGGAGCCAGAAGGAAACCTGATCCCAAGTGGGCAAAGGTCACTTGAGGCTCACCTTGTGCACCCTTTCCTCCAGTCCAACCCCAGGGAAGCCATGGGGCATGATGGGTGGGGTGGAATGGTATCAGGACACAGAACATGCTAATGAATATGGTCCTTCGCTCAGGGAAGTGCTGTGCATTACAACTGGGCATCAGGGAGGAGGGGCATTTGAATGGACACAACCAGGGCAGGTAGAGGTTTGGGGGTGGGGTGGGAAATGACATTCAGGCCCAGAGAACAGCATGCTCAAGGCCTGGGTGTGAAGAGAAAAATGTCTTTCCCAAAGGATAGTCCTGGAACCCACCTGGTCTGACCTTTTCTCCCCATCCATCTTCCCCAATCTCAACCCAGGTGGCTGACAACATGGCAGCCCTTCTGTCCCCTATCCAGCCTCTCCTCTGCCCTGCAGTCCCTCTGCCCCATCTATCCCGCAGGAGCCCTCTAGAGCCTGTCGTCCTGACTGGTTGTAACAGCTTTCACCACCTTCTCATTGCTCCGTGAGAAGACCAAAGTCCAATAACCTGTCTCTGTCACAAGCCCCTTTCTCAGCTCAGGCCACCTCTGGGATTGTCCCCCACTTCCATCCCTTGTGTTTAGACTTTCCCTATCCCTTCTAGGTGGTTCCCCAGGACCTGGAACCCTCTTTTTTGTCTCCTGGGAAGTGACATTTCTTTGGATCAGTATAAGGATAATGTCTTGGCTTTCTGAGCTCTGGGGACAGGGGAATGGACACCCTAGAACCCCAACTGGTCCCTAGACTTTGAGCCTAGGGGACACTCAATGAATAGATGGATGAGTGTATGAATGAATGAATGAATGAGTTATGGCTGACAATCAAGTTCCACGTCTGGAAAGGAGGCTCAGGCGCCTGCCAGGAGCAATAGAGAGGTCTCGAAGATGGGGGCAGGAGAGCAGAAGACTGCCAATCGGGGTAGGGGCAACTGCCAGTCGGGGTAGGGGCAGGTCCCAGAACCGCCTGAGGAGCAGTGCAGCGGCCGACCAGCGAGAACCTCCGGCCCTGGAGTGTAACCAGCTCAGACTTTGGGGCAGAGCCGGGACAGCGGGCTTGGCGGCGGGCACCGAGCCCGGCCGCGTCCGAGTTCCAGCCAACAGGAAGAGCAGGAGTGGAGCCAGGGGAGGCGGGCCAGCTGGCCAGTGGGGAGTCCCGGGCGTGGGTGTGGGGAGCGGGGGAACCCCCGCCGGCGCCTCCCAGGCCCCAGCGGGCGGGGGGCGCCTCCCTATCGGGCCTCAGCGGCCTCCTCTGTAAAATGGGCCCCTTCTGAGGGCTGGCTGCGCGTAATGGTGGGAGGATGCGAAGCGGGCCACAGAGGGCAGACGGGCCGGGAGACTCAGTGTCCCGCGCAGAAAGAGGCAGAGGGACACAGTCCCTGGTTGCAGCTGGTGGGGCGGGGCCTGGCGGGGGCGGGGCCTGGCGGGGGCGGGGCCGGCGGCACCTGGGTGAGGTCGCGCCGCCCCGCCCCCTCGCACTTCCGTGTGCCGCGGCGCCGGAGCCCGAGGCTGCTGCAGCCCAGATCCCCCGAGCGACCCCCGGCGCCCGCCCGCCGTGCCGAGGCCCGGGCCACACCTCACTGGCCGCTGGACTCGTCCCAGTCAGCGCCGCGCCGACCGCCGTCCGCGCGCGCCAAGGAGCCGCCCGCCCGCCACCGCCGCCGCGACCCTTGGCGCCTGCCCCTGCGCCGGGAGGTGAGTTAGGGCCGGGACCCGGCGCGGGATCGGGGCTACCCCGAGGGCGCGACGCCCTTCCTTCCCCTCCCCGGCCCGGTTCCCGTTTCCGAAACTGAGAAACTGAGCCGCGGTCAGCGAAAGTCCCGCCGCGCCGAGACATGCCGGTGACTCCGTCCCCCCTTCCGTCTGTCTGTCCGTCCCTCCGCCAGATAGTGGGGGCTGAGGTCTTTCTGTCCGCCCGCCCGTGTGTCTCCCGCTCCTCCGAGAGGCCCGTCCGTCCTTCCCGACTGTCTCCCGGGCCCTGTGACCGTCCGTCTGTCGCCACCCACTCTGTGTTCTCCCCTTGCGCGCCTCTCCGAGACCCGATCCGTCTGCCCCTCGCCCTCCGCGTGCTCCATCGCCCCACCCCCACCCTTACCCCCGCCGGCCGCCCCCTCGATCCCGTTCTCCCGGAGCCGCGCCCCCTGCCCACGCTTGCCGCCCCCTGCCGGTCCAGCCGCCTATCCGCTCTACCGCGGAGCCCAGGCCAGGCCTCCCGCCGGGCCTCGCCTCCCGCCCCTGGGTCCCTGGAGGCCCGACTCGCGCGGCGCCTCCTCCTCGCTGTCTCTTCTTTCGGTCTCAAGAGTCTTTCTCGGTCCCTTCATCCGTCTCTGGGCTGGGCGTGGCTCCAGTCTCCACCATCCCCCTTACTGCCCCACCCCTCCGCCCCTCTGAGACCCCTTCCCAGGGTGGCCCCTGCCCGGTGTCGTCTGCACCCGCCCCCAACCCAGATGCCACTCGCGTTGTGGGGGCTCTGCCAGGTGAGGGGAGGGAGGGGGGAGTCCTCCTGGCTGGTGGTGGAGAGGCAGAAGGAGAGCACCATCGGAACTGCTCCCACTTCCCCAATTCCCTCACTCTTGGGGCACAGGAGAGCCCCACTGAGCCCCCACTTAAACCTGGTCAGAAGGATTTGCTGTGAGTGTGTGGGGGGGTCCCCTTCTCTGATGCCTACCCTGTATGCATGGACGCTATCTCCTTGTGCTAAGTCACTGGTATCTGGGTGTGTGGGTATGTCGTGTGTCTGTGTCAGCTTCTGTGCTGTCACTGTGGGACTTGCCTGTGCATGTGTGTCCTTTTTCGCATGTGTGGCTTGCTTGTGTGAATGTGTGTATGTCTGTTTGTGTCCTGAGGTTCTGTGTGTGTCTTTTGCAACTGTGTGTACCATTCTTGGTGTTTTTGTTGTCACCAGACTTGTGTGTGTGTGTGTCCTTGTCTGCCAGTGTGTGTGTCCCTGTGTGTCTGGAGATTTCAGTGTTGCATACTGGGTATATCATGGTGACCAACTGGCCACGAGTACCTTAGATCTGTTAATTGTGGAAGCCCCTGGTGTTGGGTGCCTGCCCACCAGGCTCATGTGTGAGTGTATCTGTATGAGTGTGTGTATGTGCGTGTACTCATGTGTGGCTCTCCCTCTGCCACTGAGCTTCTGTGACCAGGCTCACCTGGTCACTAAGGGAGGGGACTGATCCCTGGGGTTTCATCGTTCCTACTGTGGAGTGAGCTGGGGCGTGGTGGGCAGGCCAGCAGAGGGAGGCTGTATGGCGCATGTGTGATGTGTGCAGTTGTGTGTGTGTGTGAGACAGAGAGGTGTGGAGGTGTCTGGGCAGCTGTACCTGGCTGAGGGGTGGTGTGAGGGCTATGTGATGGTACAGTACTGGGGTAAGCCTGGCAGTGTGTGGTCATGGTAGGAGTGTGTGACTGGTGGGACACAGTCTATGCTTGGGGAGTGACTGTGATTGTGGGGAACGGAGAGTGCCTGGGCGTGGGTGTTAGCGGCAGGAGGGGGTGTGACAAGGTGTGTGGTGACAGTGCTGGGAGGGAAGGTGAGAGCCCAGTGTGGGTGTGTGAGTGTGTGGGAGACCATGAGGATGTGGGTGTGCACATGGAGAGGGCTAGAGGGCAAGTCTTGGGGTTAGCAGTGTTGTGACCAAGACCTCGGGCTCTGGATCCAAGAATGATTTGGGCTCCAATATTTGCTTGTGCCTGTTAAGAGCAAGAGACCCAAGCTAGGCCTCTCAAGGCTGAGTGTCTTTATCTGCAGAATGGAGAAAGTTGTGTGGACAAAAGGTCCTATGTTAAAGGTCCTTTAACACAGTCTTGGCCCATAGTGAGAACACAGCACATGCGAAGTCTTATGTTGTCACCACCCCCGGCTATATGGTTCCCATTCTCCTGGGAGCTGGGGTTAAAGAAAGCCCAGACAGTATCCAACCCAATTTCCTGCCTGTCTGTTGCCCCTTCCCATCTCCTTGACCAAGCAGCTTGAGGGAGGGAGGATGCCCAGACAGAGCCCCTAGTACCCAGCCCTGTTCAGCCTGCATGACAGCCCCTCCCTCACCAGCCCTTAGTGTCAGTAGCAGCAATGGGGGAGAGAGGGGTGGGGAGTGATTCAGAGCTGTGACTGCAGGGCGCTGACACCATTTAGCTGGCACAGTTTAGATTAAAATTAGAAATAATTTAAAGTACAGACGAAAAGATAAAGCCAAGGATGCCTCTATCCCCAGGGAATGGTGATGGGGGTCTCCAGCTGGGGGAGGGGCTCACATCTGGGGAGCAGAATCTTTCTTAGAGGCTTAAGCTGGCCGTCAGAAAAAATGCTTAGGCCTTTCAGCCAGGAGACACAGAGTTCCTTGCTACCTTTGCCATTTCTTCCTTCCAGGATATCTCCAGGCCTCAGTTTTTTCAGCTGTGTAATGGGCACAATAGTAATGTGAGAATCACCTGAACTATAATGCACAAAACAAGAGATTAAAAAATGTCACTCTTCAGGCTGGGCACAGTGGCTCACACCTGTAATCCCAGCATTTTGGGAAGCCGAGGCGGTGGATTACTTGGTCAGGAGTTTGAGACCAGCCTGGACAACATTTTGTCTCTACTGAAAATACAAAAATTATCTGGGCGCGGTGGTGCGTGCCTGTAATCTCAGCTGCTCAGGAGACTGAGGCACAAGAATCACTTGAGACCAGGAGGTGGAGGTTGCAGTGAGCCAAGATTGTGCCACTGCACTCCAGCCTGGGCGATAGAGCGAGACCCTGCCACATTAAAAAAAAAAAAAAAATCAGTCATTTGGCATTCTCAACGTGAGTCCAGCACAGGAGCTGGCACGCCACATCATTGGAACCTCAGAACCACCTGGGGAGAGGGGGCTAGTAGTTTCTCCATTAAAAAAACTGAGGCTCAGAGGAATTGCCCCAGGCCATAAAGTGGTGTGGTACTTCATTGCACCCTAGGACTCCTAAGCCTGCAGGGCAACCTCCCGCAGACAGGAGAGTCGGGAACAGGTTTTTGCTGTGTTATTGGCTTCCTCACCAGGCTGTAAATGTGCTGAGGGCAGGGACACAGTGTTCCAGCCCCTAACATGGAAGGGACACATGGTGGTGTCCAGGAAAAGTTGGACCCAACACTACATTTCGAGGAAGGGAAAGCCACATCCAGAGAGACCCAAGGTTTTAGGGCCAGGAGAGACTGAACTGGGCCTGTCAGCCATGCCAGGACTGGCGGATGGGGAGAGCCTGTTTGGCGGTGCCTCCCGGTTCAGCTGTTTCCTCCTGTTCCTGCAGGTCTGCAGGGAACTGGCCAGGCAAGGGTGCAGGCCTGTTTCTCCTGGTGGTTGGTGCGTTGCAGCAGCAGCGGGAGCCAGGACTAAGGACAAGCGGGAGCTGGGAGCCCCAGGTAGGACTGAGTTCTCTTAGGCAGATGGACGGTGCGCAGGCGTGGCCTTCCTCTCTGTCCTCCCTGTCCTTTGCTGTGGGACTGGATGAGGTTGGGCATGCATGCAGAGTCCTTGATCTGGTTGTGGGCCCCATGTGCCCAGGAGCCGCAGCTGTTTGCCCTGTCTATGGAGGGGCTCTCTGCTCATGAGGAACTTCCCGCCTGGAACCTGGCTCTGGCCCCGAATGCTCTCGCCTTGGAGCTCAGAGGCCTGGGGCCTACCATGAGTTTGGGGCAAGAAGTAGTAACACTTTTTTGGTCAGTTAGAGAGAGGGTGGCTCGTGGGCCAAGGATTGAGGGTGGATGTATCAGCTTTTCCTTGGCCCTGTATCTGCCTCCAACTGTCCTCATCGTCACACAAGGACACTGAAATTCCCCGTGGGCCCCACAGTGGGTTGGACGCTGCGGGGGGATGGAATGGGGTCTCCAGCTCCAGGTACAGCTGAGCTGTCTTCCACACCCCAGGCCCCTCCATTTTCCCCACTTCTCTAGAGCCCGAGCAGGGCTCAGTCCCTCTCGTCAGCTTCCAAATTCAAGGGGAGCTAGGCAGAGTCTGGAACAATGCTGGGAAGGCTGTAGTCTCTCTGAAGAGCCTCAGAAAGCTGGAAATTCCTCGTTTTGGGGCAAGCCTTGCCTCCTTCAGCCCCATTACCATGAAAACACTGCTGTGGGTGACTCCATACTCACTCCAGGCTGGTGACTGGGTGACTGGGCCCCAGTGAGCAGGGTTCTGGTGGTGGGTATGGGTGCTAATGAAGCTTGAGCCTGGGAGTGACAGTAGGGGGATAGCAAAGACCGTCTTTCCTCCAGGAGCGCTCCCTGAGCAGACCCCCGCAGCCAACCCCACTGGCTGTTACACACTTATAGGTCTGTGAGTAGAGCCATAAGGGCTGGGCTTCCTGGGCCTGACTCTGGGTTAGGGGGCAGAAAGGAGGTCAGGGCCCTCACTCCTGGGGTAGGAGTTGGGGCAGAACAGGAGTTGTCTTCACTGGGCCTTCTGTGTATTGGACCTATCCCTAAACCTGGTGTGGAGGAAGTGAAGTGCCTTTGGCTGTGTAGGGGCCTCTGCCACCGGAGTTCTGAAGAGCCAGCCCTTTCTGTCACTCAGCCTTGTTTTCTAAGGAGTTTGATTAGTCTTGGAGACAGCCCACGGTAAATCCTCAGACATCACCCGCCTGCTGCACAGACATATGCGTGCTCACACAGGGATATGGCAAGCCAGGCTGCAGTGGCCATGCACACCCACAGACTCATGAGTGCGTGCACCACCCATGTGGGCATGCAGGTACACAGGTGCTCACATGCAGCCACCCATGGCACACTCACGCACACACAGATGATCTCCCAGTTACCATTGGCATCCATGCACTCAAATGCCTTCCCACACATACCACACTGTGCCCATTCTGGGGTCAGGAAGGGGGGCCCTGGTCAGAGTCACAGCCCAGCAAGGTCCCCTGCGTCTGGCACCTGAGGGGGAAGTTCCAGGTGTGGCTGTGATCTCAGGGGGTTAAGGGGGGCTGGGCCACCCTGGTAGGTGGGCTCTGCCCATGCATTCAGCAGCCACCCTCCCATCTGGCCCCAGGCTCCAGAACGACCAGGGCTTGGCATGGGAGATGGGAGATACGAGTGCAGGGGAGAGGCGTGTCAGCTGTGCCAGCACCATGTGCCTAGTGCCACGGCAGAGGAAGTAGGCTTTCTGGCCATGAGGCCAGTGTGCCCACAGTGGGTGGGGGTCCTATCACAACGCCTGTGTCCCCCACAGCGTCCATGGCTAGAGGGAGTGGAGTTGCTGGGCTCTAGGGACTAAGAGGTTGGCAGGGGCGGTCTGTTCACTTCCCAAAGGCTGGGCCTAGGGGAGAGGCCTGTCTGTCCGAGGCGTTTCCGGAGGCTCACTTCCTCTGGGCTGCCCAGGAAGTGGTTTTGGAGTGGGACTGACCAGCCCTCCGTCCGCAGCTCTGCGCCTTGCTCCGCCCCTGCCTTGCCTGCCCAGGGGAGCAGCATCTGGCCACCGGGTTAGGCTGACTGACCAGGCTTTTCACTGCCAGGGCTGCCCAGGCTTTTTTCGGGGGCTCTAGGAGAAGGGCAGGGGCCAGGTCATGAAGTCCCCTGCAGTCTCCACAACTTTCTCGTCCCCGCACCTTTCTTGCTCTGACCCTGTAAGCCGAGGCTCAAGAGCATCAGCTCTGGTAGTCATGGCCCCCTTGAGAGTGGTGATGGCTGGGCTGCATCTCAGTGACTAGGCAGCTCCCAGCAGCTCTATGAATGAGCCTGGGCAAGTGGCTTTGCCTCTTAGTGCCTCAGTTTCCCCCGACAGATGAGATAATGATAGCATCCATCTTGATGAGGTTGAGCAGAAATGACAGATAACATATGCAAAGTAGCTAGCATCGTGCTTAGCACATTGTCAGAGTTGAATGAGTAGAAACTGTAGTTATGTAAAGCATTTAGTGCCCAGTTCATGGGAACTATTCAAAAAATAGCAAGTGGGACTGATGAGGGGGTACTATGATCTGAGGGGCTGGGCACTGGCCCAGTGTTACATGGCCAGGTGCTATGGAGCCTGGCCGAGGAGCCAGGTCTCTAACTCCCTCATCCCCCTCAATTCTGTCTCCAGTGGCAGCACCCTACTGGTTCAATAGGTTCCATGTCTTCTGAGGAGAGGAGCTCCCGGTGGAGCAGCTCCGCCCACTCAGCAGCCCAGCCCTTGCCTGCTCTTCTCCCCCTCACTCCCTTTCAAAGGGAGAAAATAGATCTCATGACAAATGGATGCAGGGAGGGGAAAGGCAGTCTGCAGCTGCCTGCTGCCCCCTCAGGGCTCCCCTTGGCGCTCTCCAGCTCTGGCCTCCTGCAGGACATTAGGCTGGGAGAATTGGCTGGGAATGAGGGGGTGGACGTAAGCCCTCCTGCCAGCCTGCTTACCCTTCAGACCCCTGGAGTCAGCCTTTGGGCTGGGGCAGGGAGTGGGCATCTGGTTATGATGGAGGCTAGAAGAGTAGGGGGAGCTAGAAAACCCCCTACATACACAGCAGCTGGGGGCAGGGCCCAGCCTGTCCCAGGGACACGAAGAAGGTCAGCACAGTCAGGGTTGGGCTGAGCATTGGCCTTCACTGTGTGGGACCCAGAGGCTAGGGGTGAGAAATGTTGAGGAGTGGTAAGGACAGTGATGCAAGCATCAGGAGCCTGAGGGCTGGAGAGCGAAAGATGAATGGGCCTGGGCGAGGAGTGTGGGTGAGGGTATCCTGAAGGCTTAGGAGCAGGACTTATGCAGGCATCAGACAGACCCTGATTGAATCCTTGCTCAATATTTCCTGGCTGTGCACCCTTGAGCCAGGGACTGGACTGCTCCCCACTTTCCTCATCTGTGAAATGGGCAGATCAGGGAGTGTCCTGTGAGACATGAATGATGGGAAAGAGCCACTGTGTGGGGGTGGGGTGGAGCAGGAAGACGGAACAGCAAGCCCAGAGGCTTCTAAGCGGGAAGGAACTGGCTGCTCCGGGAACTGAAAGGGGTCAGCGTGGCTGGGGCACAGGAGTGAGGGAAAGGCAGCCGCCTGAGAGGTCAGGGAGGTAACAGTGAGGGGTTGGGAAGCGGGCGTGGCGGGGAGCAGGCTGAGGGGAGGAGTCTGGGCTTGTCAGAGGGGCAATGGGAGGCACTGGGGGCTTGGGCAGGGGGTGACAAAATCCGTCTGAAAAGCCCCGTCTGGTGACTGGAGCAGCGGGACCGTGGGTGCCAGGGTAGAGGATAGAGAGCAGTCAGAAGGCAGGTGCAGAGTCTGGGGATGGTGGTGGTGGGAGAAGAGAGGATTTGAGACTTGAGGACAGGCTGCAGCGGCAGATGGGATGGCCTTATTGTGTGGGGAGCAGGAGGAGCTGTCTGGCCTGAGCCACTGCATGAGCTCGTGCACTCCTAGTTCAGGAGTGCTGGGAGGGGAATGGTGGGGTACTGGTGTGGGCAGGCTTGAGCTCTTCTGGAGTCATTCATGTGGTGAAGCCAGGGAGGCAGGTGGGGCCACAAGCCTGAAGTTCAGGAGGGTCTGGGCCCAAAGTAGAGACAGGGAGCCTAAAGTCAAGATTGGGGCGGAGAGGGCTCAAGAGGCCTTCTAAGGGGTTGGGGAGCGTTTGAGAGGCCCCAGGAACAGGACTGGGATGGCTGTCCCTCAAAGGTCCCTGCCAAGGCACCCAGGAGGACAGGCTTGTGGTGGCTGAGCCGCTGTTTTCACAACAGCTCCGGAAGCTTTGGATCATGTCTATGGCCGTGTTGGGTAAACAGGCAGAGCACAGCAGGCAGTCGCCAAGGCCTGAGGCTGGATCAGATGTCTGCCGTGGTGTAGGTTGTGGGCTGGGGTTGTTGGGGTGGGAGGAGGATCTCAGGGTCCTCCAGTGTCAGGGATGGAGAAAGCTTAGAGGTCTCCATTGTTGAGATAGGGAGGCTGGAGTCCCGGGAAGGGCAGTAGCTGGCCAGCCTCTGGAAGTGGATTCATGCTGCCTGCCTCAGCCCGGTTCTGCCTAGAGCCTCAGGCCGGAACAGGGTACTCTGTGGCTGGAGGGCTTAACAGAGCCTCTTTTCCCACCGATCCAAGGAAGTCTGGAAGACACCAGAGCACTTGGGCCAAGATCAGGGAGCACCCAGGCAGCAGATCTAAGCTAGACCTGTCTAGGTCCAAGCTCGCCGGTTCCTCTGTCAGCTGCCTGCTATGGGATGGCCCACCATGCAGGATGGTCCTGCCTCTCTCCCAGCTTTCTTAAGATCCCCCAAGTAGGAAAGCATCATGTGGACCCTGCCCAGATCCTGGGGATGGCTGGCAGAAGGCTTAGGTGGCCATCTTGGCTTCTCCCAAACACAAAACGATTGTTTCCAATGGTAAACAATCTGGAAAATCATGGAAACTCTGTGGGAGAAAGAAGGGCTAAGGAGTAAGGCTCTTGTACTGGGGGCTGATGGAGGAGCTGTTCCTACCTCCAAACACATACCCTCACCCCGTTGGAGGCCAGATGGACAGTTCTAGGACTAGAGCTGGAGGCTCTCTCCCCACTTCCCCCTGGGTCTGCCCCATTGGCTTTGTGGCTTTGGTTGAATTGCTCAACCTCTCTTTCGGTTTCTGCACAGTGAGCCTGGAGCTCATGGAACTTGTGCCTGGGGTGTCCAGCTTACTGCCCTACCAGCACAGGTTCAAGCCCTCCCCTCCCCCCGTGCGCCAGGCCTGTGACTGCCACCTGTGACCGTCAACCTCCACCACAGCCTCAGGTCCCTGCAGGCAGGTGGGCGGGCGGGCAGAGGCCTGCCCAGTGATGCGCCTGACCAACCCACTCCTTCCCTTACACACTTTAGACTTTGCTGTGGACCAAGAGGGACTTTCTTCGCCTCCCTGGGTGGAAAGGCCCAGCCTAGCCTGACACCAGCTGCCCTTCTGCCCCTCCTCCATTCCCCAGCCATTGTGCCTGGGGGCTGCGGTGGAAAAAGCTAAATTTGGACTTCCATGGTGCCAGACTAGTCAGGGATGTGGGGTCCTTCCAGGCCTGTATGTTTGTTTCTGTGTCTGCCTGGAGCATCTCTGTGCCAGTGTGTACATTACAGCTTGTGGCACCCCACGTGCATGTGGAGCCTGTGTGGTCGGGTGTGGTCTGTGTGGGCCTGGGTGTCTGTTGAGATGTGAGAGCCGGTGAGGGGGTGTGTTTCTGTGTGTGTGTGTGCCCCTGAGTCATCATAGCAGTGTGTGTACGTACCTGTGGCTCCAGCTGTGTGCGTGTGTGTGTCTGATGTTGAGCGGGGCTCCCTGTGTGCTGTTTGGGTTGGCGGGTGTGCCTGTGTGTGCACACATGTGTGGTTATTCACGGAGAGCCCCAGCTGCGTCCCCCACCCTGGCTCCTCACAGAGGTCCCTTGTCCTCACAGGATCTGGCTCTCTGGCTGTTGCCATGAAGGGGCCTTTATTCCTCTCTCAGGGGTACCTGGGGCACGCCCCTCTGACTGAGCCCAGGACTCCTCATATCCCAGGGCTGGCTGGTGACTTGAGGCCTGTGCCTGGTGGCTTCCTTCCAAGGAGGCCCTACCCCACACAAGCTGGCAGGGGTGGATATGAGCCGATGACAGCCAGGCTCGCAAGTCCTGCCCCTCTGACCCTTCCAGACCCTCTAGCAGGGCAAGTCATTATGCTCCTGCTGACCTCTCAGATCAAAGGCCCCCAGTCAACAGGTCCCTGCAGCCTCCATTCTACTCCAGCCCCCATCACTCCCTACTACTCACTGCCTGTGCTGCGCATCCTACAGAGGTCTTACCCTTCTTTGTAATCACATATTTATGTGACTGGCTCCCACCAGGCTGTAGGTCTATGGGCCTGGTGTGGCAGAGGTTACCAGTGGGAAAGCAGCTAGCTTCCTGAGAGGTGGGAAGAGTCCCCCAGGGCCAGCCTTCTGAGCTGCCTGGAAGGATCTGTGAGAATTCAGAAGGCCGTTCCAGCTGAGGGAACAACATCTGCAAAAACATCGGGGCTGAGAAATGAGACATATGTTCACAGAGTAGCCGGAGCAGGGATTGAGGTAGAGAGCAGGACAGGGCCAGGGAGTGGGGAGCCTGGAAGGCCTGGAGAGGCCTGGGTTTTCTCCAGGGGCAGTGAGAGCCTAGGAGGTTCCCAGCTGTGGGAAGAATGGGTAGGGGAGGGACCAGAGGTGGTGACAGCAGGGAGGGAGCTGGGTAAGGGGAGGAGAGGCTATAGGCAGTGGTTGGTCTGTGTGGGGTGAGGGAGGGGCCCAGGAGGAGCCCTGGCTGGGCGATGAGGTACCTGTCCTGGGAGGAGCAAGTATGGGGAGCATCCCTTGCTCTGGGACTTGGCTGTGACCTGAGTCCATAGATCTGGTTCTTATCTCAGCACATGTGGAGGCTGGGGGATGGGCCCTGGTGGAGGAACCCTAAAGGGTCTTGCTAGCCCTTCCCCTCCCATCTCCTGTTCCTCTTGCTGAGCCCACTTCCTGGGTTGTGAAACCCGCATGGCCTCCTTGCCTTGTTTCCAATGGGAAGGCCATCTAAACGGCCAGCCGCCCAGCCCAGCTACCACCCACCTGCCTACCCAACCTGGCAGCTCCACCATGCCTGGCCCCCTTGCCCTGCCATGACTGCCAGGACCAGTCCTGCACCCTCCTGCTGATCACACTTCCTCTTACTGTCCTTCCTGCCCCTGCCTGGGCCTTGGTCTCCTCCGCCCTCCTTTATTCATCCGCAAGGCTGTGGCAGGCTGCACTGTGGACTCCCCCAGGCAGAGTGTGCATCCTTAGGAGGGCCCCCACTTTGTGCCACCTGCCATGCAGTTGTGGCTTCCGTGACAGGTGTCAGGTGTGTGTGGGACAGGGCTGTAGTAGGTGGCATGGGGGACATCCCCTGCTCCCCGGTAGTCTGTTCAAGGGAACCAGACCCCCCTATACCCACGAGGGGCTGCAACTGGTCTTTCATTACCCTTGCTTTGACTGACCTCAACGTGCCACCTTGTGTCTCCCTTAGACATTTCTGAGGCAGCCTCCCTCTGCTCTCACACACCTCCCCCCAGCAGCCTGATCAAGCCTCTTTCCTCCAGCCCAGCTTACCCCTCTGACCGACGGGCATAACGCTGTGGCCTGTGAGGCAGAATCGAACACCAGGGAAGGGATGGGGTGGAGGGGCCAGGCCGGATCTAGGAGCCAGGGGACCCTCACTGCACTACCTTGGCCTCAGTCTCCTCCTCTGTACAATGAGGAGATGGGCATGCCAGTCTCTGAAGACCTGTCTCTTGTAGAGAGATTGGCTTGTTAGGGTTTTTCACCTTTGACAAAACCATTATCCAACAAGTTAGCAAATGCATTCCTGTTCCTGCTGGCGCTCCTCAGGCCATGTCCCTCACCCCAGCCTCCTTTGCTGGTATACACCAGCACACATGTGGATGTGCAGCACACATACTTGTCTGCTGGAGACAACCCGGAGTTCTGTGCCTGGGAGCTCCAAACCCAAGGTCGCTCTGATCACCTCGAGGCCGGCTTTGCCCGCTGCTGGGTACTGGCTAGGAACAGGTTTCCATTTGTCCCAGAGGAGGTGACCTGCCTTCTCTGGCCTGGCCTAGCTACTGCCTTTCCTTACCTCTGGGCTGCTGATTTGGGGCTCACATTCACTGGGGCTGGGATCCAGTGTGACCAAGCCTTCCCTAGGTTTTGTTTTTGTTTTATTTGTTTTTATTTTTTTTGAGACGGAGTGTCACTCTTACCCAGGCTGGAGTGCAGTGGCATGATCTCGGCTCACTGCAACCTCTCCCTCCCGGGTTCAAGCAATTCTTCTGCCTCAGCCACCAAAGTAGGTGGGATTACAGGTGCCTGCCACCACACCTGGCTAATTTTTGTATTTTAGTAGAGATGGGTTTTCACTTCTTGGCCAGGCTTGTCTCAAACTCCTGACCTCAGGTGATCTGCCCGCCTCGGCCTCCCAAAGTGTTGAAATTACAGGCGTGAGCCACCGTGCCTGGCCCTTCCCCAGGTTTTGGAAATGGAGGCTGGTCCAAGCGGCGAGGTCAGCGGGGAAGACCACTGGTCAAGCATGGGGTACCTGTCTCTTGGAGCCCTTACCTCCCTGTTTTTTTTTTTGTCTTCGTGTGTGTTTGTGTGTGCTGTTCCTGGCACATTTATCCATCTCCACCTCTACCCTCCTCTCTCCACCTCTACCCGCTTGTCTCTCTTGGTCTCTTCTTCCCAACGTGGCTTACTGGAAAGGACCTGGGCTGCAACATTAGGCAGGCCTGGATTTATCCTTCCACCACTTACTGGCTGTGTAACCTTGGAAAGTTACATAGCTTCTCTGAGCTTTGGTTTCTTCATCAGTAAAATGCCCATCAGTAAAATCCCTTCTGGATCCGCATAGGGATAAAGTGAGCTAATGTAATTACAGAGGTAATCTGCGACATTGTCGGCCTCAGAAAAGGACTGTCTTTCTTGTACGTGGAGGAGCCGAGATTCATGCCTAGACACTGACCCTTAGTCTGGTGCTCTCTGCTTCATAAAACCGCCTCTGCTGTAGGCTGGAGAAGCAGAATAGAGACTAGGAGCCCTTAGGCAGCTGGGAAAGGCCTGGCTGGCTCCAAGGAGCTTGTCCCCGTGGAGACTGTGTGGGTCCAGCCCCAGGCATCCCCTGGCCCTGCAGAGCGGCCATGAGTCTGGCTGAGCCAGCAGTCTTCCTCTGGGGCCTCCGTGGGCTGGGTCCTATTTGCATGGGGGCTATAAATAGTCAGCACACCTTGCTTTTGTGCTGCTGCTTCACCCCCTCCTCCCTGCCATACACTCTGAGAGGTAGGGGGCAGACTCTGACTCTGCTGTGCAGAGCAGGGACTTGTGGCCCAGAGAGGCCCAGGACCTCTCTCAGGGTCACACAGTGATGGAAGAAGATGTGGGGCTCTGGGTAGTACAAATAGGGGCAGAGGAGGTGGCAGAACCTGGCCAGAGCCCGTGCCCTGGTTTTAGTCCTAGGAGGTTGGGTCTGACCCTATGGTTACTGCTGGTTAGCCTTGGGGCAGCCCATGAAGACCATGGCTCCCCAGTTCTCATGGCGCTGCAGCCTGGCGGTGCAGGTTTAGGCTGGGGCCTGCTGTGGTTGTGGTTTTCCCTCCAGTGGCTTCTAACTGTGAGCAGCAGCTGCTCTGAGTGTGGCCTGAGAGAGCTGGAGGGCCATCCTCGGGTGGGAAGGTCCTGGGCTCTGCCTCACCCTCGTGGGGCTTCTCTGACCCACTGTCTCCTCCACCCTCCATACAGTCCTGGGGTGGTCCCCACGCATACCTCCTGCTGGGCAGGCTGGGGGCAGGGGAAGCCATGGAGCCTATGGGCTGTCAGGGCTGGGCCCCAAGGGTTGGTGGCTGGGAGGAGGACCTGGCTGGCCGATGTTGGAGCATCTGGTGCTCCTGAGTGAGTTATATGTTCATGGAGACCTGGTTTCCCTTTCTGAGCAGTGGGATCTGTAACCAAGGCTGTCTTCCCGGGCTGCTGGGCAGGGGGAATGGATGCGGTGGGGGATGCGAGTGCGCTTTGTAAACTGTGAAGGGAGGTGCACAGTGAGGGATGGATGCTGCAGTGAGAGGGGGTGACAGTGGTAAGAGGACCTCCCTCCCCAAGGCCTGTTGGGTTGATTGTAGCCATGATCCTTCGTGAGTTTTCATTCTCACCACAACCCTGGGCCAAGAGACTATTCCTCATCAGGAAATGGGAAGGCTGAGGCTCGGGAAGGCTGAGGCTCGGAAAGGCCAAGTGACCTGCACAGAGTCCACAGCCAAGGCAGCGTTGGTGTCAGGGTGCAGCACCCAGGCAGTCTGGCCATCATTTTGCCACATTAACTGCCCTGAGCCTCTCTCCCCTAGGAGTCCAGGCCACCTGCAACACACTTGCTCCTCCTTTATCTCTGCGCCCCTGTCCCCTCAACCCTCATCATCCTCCGAGGCACTCAGAAGTTGCTTACTGCTCCAGCTGGGTCTCCAGGTTTTCCTAACAGCAGAGCTGCATCTGCTGGATCAGGCCCTGGATGTGTGGACACAGACCTGCCAATCATTCCAGACCCAGGGAGTACTCACCTGGGTGCTGGATCTCTTGGACCCTCAGGGCCAAGCCAGGCAGCAAGAGGGGCAAGATGTCCTTCTTGCTTACGGGTTTGGGATGCTCAACCAGACTCCTGCATATGTGTGAGGCCAGGCCCACGTAGCTTGCTTTTCACTCCAATATTAACTGAGAGCCCACCATGTGCCACCCACTCCAATGGCTGCATATAATCGCATGCACCAGTAGACCCGTGCAACCTCACACGCACCAATTCATGCATGCTGCAGCCTGGGGAGCAGTCAGCAGCAGCCCCCAGCTGGCCCTCTCTCTGTGGCCCACCAAGAGGTCATGGGCAGCTGGCCTGGCACACAGGCCACCTGCTGGTGTCAAGCTGAAGGCTTTGGGACTTGGGCACATGCATGAGCTTGCACACCCACTCTCACATCCACTGAGTAGGAGCCAAGGCCGAGCAGGGGATGTGGTGGGGTCTGCCTGCCTGGGTCCTGCTGTCTGCTCTGGCAGCTGCTGGCCTCAGAGGGCTGCCTGGACTCACTGGGCTGGGCTGCAGGGTGAGGTCAGCATTTGCTGTGAGCTCATCTGAGCTAAGAGCTCCCAGCAGATCTGGCTGCTGCTCTGGCCACCTTGTGCAGGAACTGGAGGAAGTCATCTGGGGCTGGGCACCTGTTGTGTGTGCATGCACACATGTGTGTCTGAGTGAGCCCCTGTGTGCTGGCTTATGTTCAGGATGGAGTGAATACACGTGTGTGTGCACAAAATCGAGTGAGCGCTCCCTCAACCAAGGCTATGGAGCAGCCTCGTGGGGCCTGGGCAGAAGCCAGTGTGCACATAGGTGCTTACACACCCGAGTGTCCTTCACAAGTGGCAACCTGAGGAGCCCCTTGGGGTCACTTACTATAGTGAACATTAACTTAGAGAATGGTGAGAAACCCAGGAGTGTGGGAGCTGCTGTGTGTGAATCTGCAAGGCACATTCAGTGTTACACTGAACATTAAAATACAGTTTGGGTTTTTTTTTTTTTTTTTTTGAGATAGAGTCTCCCTCCGTTGCCCAGGCTGGAGTGCAATGGCGTAGTCTCAGCTCACTGCAACCTCTGCCTCCCAGGTTCAAGCCATTCTCCTGCCTCAGCCTCCCAAATAGCTGGGATTACAGGCATGCGCCACCACGCCAGGCTAGGTTTTGTATTTTTAGTAGAGACGGGGTTTCACCATGTTGGCCAGGCTGGTCTCAAACTCCTGAACTCAGGTGACCTGCCCGCCTTGGCCTCCCAAAGTGCTGAGATTACAGGCATGAGCCACCGCGCCTGGGCAGTTGGGTTTTTTTTTAAGAGATAGGGTCCCACTCTGCTGCCCATGCTGGAGTGCACTGGTACGATCATGGCTGCCTTGAACTCTTGGCCTCAAGTGATCCTCTTACCTTGGCCTCCTGAAGTACCGAGATTATGGGAGTGAGCCACCATGCCCATCTGTTTTATATTTGGGGAAATAATTAGTTTGAAGGTGCAGGCAACTTTCCAGGCAGGCGAGAGGCACTTGACCCCAAGGGATCAAGTTAGAAGGGTCAGGCACACTGATGTAGGCAGAGCCTCTGATTGCCCTGATCCCTGAACAAAGTGGGTGCCAAGTTAGTGGAATGTCAGCTTTTGGTTCTGATTCTGCCTTAGAATTTCAGTTTCCCATTTGAAAAGTGGGGGTGTTTATCTTGGCCCTGCTTGTCTGCCTGGGTGGTTATGAAGAAAAAACCCCAAACTGAGAAAATCACAAAGGGCTGCATGGGGCAGGATGGGAAAAAGAGGTGGCACTGTCCTGTCCCCTTACCAGATAACAATGGCACATACCAGGTGCCTGGCATGGAGTAGGTGCCCAGCAATAGGGTACTTAGGGAGGCACTGAGTGACTCCCCAAATGAATATCTTGGAGTGACAGATGCAAATGCCACCAAGGCCCAGGTAGGTTTTGAGGAGGAGTGAAGAGAGTGCCCTTGGCCTGGGGTAGATTGATGGAGGGCAGCCATCCCATTGCTAGCTGGCTGTTGCCCAGTGGGCCCAACGTCACATTTTCCAGTTTTACCAGAGACGCCACAAATCCAGACTTACATAAACCTCTCAATTTTTTTCTTTTCTTTTCTTTTTTTTTTTTGAGATAGAGTTTGGCTCTTGTCACCTAGACTGGAGTGTAGTGGTGCGATCTCGGCTCACTGCAACCTCGGCCTCCCGGGTTCAAGTGATTCTCCTGCCTCAGCCTCCCAGATAGCTGGGATTACGGGTATGCACCACCACACCCAGCTAATTTTCAGTAGAGGCGGCTTTTCACTATGTTGGTCAGGCTGGTCTCGAACTCCTGACCTCAGGCCATCTGCCTACCTTGGCCTCCCAAAGTGCTGGGATTACAGGCGTGAGTCACTGCACCCGGCAAACCTCTCAGTTTTTAACACTGGCAACTGAGACTAGTGTGTATATGCACCATGTGGGCCAAATCCAATCGTGGGAGAGCCCTGGGGGAGTGGGTCCCTGAGTGCTGTCTGTGACTGTTCCCAGTAGTCCTGCCCGGCCGCCTGGCCTCATCCCTCTGTGTGCACAGGCCCACTGCAGGCCCTGCCATGGCACCATTCCTGCGCATCGCCTTCAACTCCTATGAGCTGGGCTCCCTGCAGGCTGAGGACGAGGCGAACCAGCCCTTCTGTGCCGTGAAGATGAAGGAGGCGCTTAGCACAGGTAGGCCTGGAGGCTGGACCCTGGACAGGGGCTGGGAATCTGGGCCCAGCTGGAGGGACTGGAGGGGGCCTGGCCTTGTTCCCTACAACCTCTGAAGGATTCTGCTCTTCCTCATCCTTGGCTCCCTGCCCCGTTCAGCTATGAAGGCAGAGGCCACTGAGTCTCTATAAGGCCGCAAACACTGGCCAAATTGAGCCCTCCTTGGAAGGCTTGGAGTTTCTGGCTCCTCCTCCACTGGTTGTTTTACCCAACAATTTTTACATGTCCGTCTGTGCCAGGGCCTGTGCTGGACACTGAGGATACTGTCATGCTCCAGGACTGACCTGGCCTTGCCCTCATGGGGTTCATAGTCAGGTGGGGAAACCAGGCATGTCACAAAGCAGTGAGTCCTGCAATAGGGAAGCCCAGAGAAGGCACCCTCTGAACCTGAGGTCAGGGAGGACTTCCTGGAGGAAGCACATACCTCACACCATTCCCTCTTGCTTTTGCCCTGGCCTGGTGAACCCCTAGTTGTCCCTCAGGTCTCAGCTGAACTGTCCCTTCCTCTAGGAAATCTTCCCTGACCCTTAGGCTTGACCCTGTGGCCACTTGACCATAGGCAAGTCTAGCACTACCAGCCTTACCCTCTTCAGTCTCATCACAGCTGTGACTTAACAGTTACTTGAGGAAGGAGTTGGTGCATTCGCCACCCGGGCCTGGGGATCCAGGAGGACAGGCCCTGGATGTAGCTTTTCTTTCAGCTGTGTTCCACGCCTCGAATATTATGGCTGGCATGCAAGAGCTGTCAGCCCATGTTCCCTGAGTGAATGCATAAGGGCAGGCGACATTTAAATGGAGCTGGAGCAAGAGGGACACAGGAAGAGGGACCAGCAGGAACAAAGGCCTGGAGGGAGGACCTAGCACGGTGCCCGAGACAGTTCTGTGCTCTAGAGGACACTGGGGAACCACAGCAGGCCCTCAGAGCAGGAGAGTCGGGCAGATTCTGCCAGGGGAAGGCCGTGGAGATCCAGGAGGGAGGGACAGAGGGGCCCTGACCCAACCTTCCCTGCCTGGCCTTGTTGCAGAGCGTGGGAAAACACTGGTGCAGAAGAAACCGACCATGTATCCTGAGTGGAAGTCGACATTCGATGCCCACATCTACGAGGGCCGCGTCATCCAGATCGTGCTAATGCGGGCAGCCGAGGAGCCAGTGTCTGAGGTGACCGTGGGTGTGTCGGTGCTGGCCGAGCGCTGCAAGAAGAACAATGGCAAGGCTGAGTTCTGGGTGAGGGGCGCACGAGCCGTGCCGTGTGTGTGTGTGTGTGTGTGTGTGTGTGTGTGTATGTGTGTGTGCGCGCGCGCACACTCGCGCTCGCATGCGCACGCCTGCATCAGTGTGTGGGCTCAGTTAGTGAGCACAGCTGAAGGGCACCAGGCCCTGTGCTGGCCACCAGTCCAGCCCTGTGGCCAATGTGGCCTGAGTGTGAATCCTGGCTCTGCAATTCACCAGAGTCCCAGCCTCTCTGAGCTTCTGCTTCCACATCTGTTAAGGGAGGGCGCTACTAAATGTGCCTACCTCAGGGTCAGTTGTTCAAATGAAAGGAGCAGCTGGATGTACAGGGCTTATTGCAGAACCTGACACATAGCAGGTGCTAAAGACAGCCAACTTCCTTATTGTGACTACTTTTTCCTTTTTAATTTTGGAAAGGCAGGATATGCACATAGTAAAACATTTTTAACTGCACAAAAGGGTGTGTCCCTGCCCCAAAACCAGGCCACCAGGCCTCCTTCCCAGAGGCACCCATTATTCCAGTTCTTTTTGGAATCTTCGCATATATTCTAGACCTTGGCAGCCATTGAGGGGGCAACATAGTGACCTTTAACAGCAAGGAGGTGGGAGAAGGGGAGGCTTACGGTCTCATCTACTTACCTGCTGAAATGGAGACTCAGCACAAGCAAGTGGCCACCTGGCCATGTGCAGCTGTGTGTTCTGGGTGGCCACAGGATGCCAGCTCTGGCAGAAGTCCCCTGGGGTTACATGTGGGATGTAACCAAAATGTCTCCACCAGGAAAGGCCCTGTGACCACTGGAGACTCAGATCAGCCTCCTGCGAGGGGTGAGGGGGCTGGGATGGGAGAGAGGTTGACACAGGGCTGTACTGACCCTTGGCCAGTCAGGCAGAGACACAGAGGGGCCTCTGGCTGTGCTGTCTCCACTCCCCCAAGGGAGGATATCAGTCACCAGGTCTGGGTCTTGGGGGAGGTGAGGGGATAGAGGCTCAGGTCCCACCCTCAAGACTGTCCAGTCTGCATGAGGAGCCCTTGGCACAGATGGAGGGGCAGCGTGTGTGCACGAGGATGAGTGTGTCTGTCTCTCTCCACATGTGCACATGGGTGGGGGCCTCCATTCTAAGATCCTTGCTAAGGGGGCCGCCGTGGGTAGGGGTGGGGAATTTCCCTTCCCGCTCTGTTCCCCAGCTATGTGTCTGGGCTGGGTGTGGGCTGGACCCTTTCACTTCCCTAAATGTAATAATACCCCTGGGTACAGTGTGGGGGTGGGGCTCAGGGGTGGGGCTCAGGCAGGGCCCTGCCCACACTGGGCAGACAAGTGTCTGGCTAGGCCTTGGGGGGCTGCCTTGGCCTTGAGGGACCAGCCATGGGGGCGGGTTCTGAGTTTGGCCTGGCCCAGGCCACCCTCACTGACCTTGTTCTCCCCTGGCCTCTGGCCCCCAACAGCTGGACCTGCAGCCTCAGGCCAAGGTGTTGATGTCTGTTCAGTATTTCCTGGAGGACGTGGGTAAGAACTCCCTGGGGATGGAGGGGGCTCCTTTGCCTGGTTCAGAGGCAGAGCCAGCACTGAGGCGTAGGGAAGCGGCTCCCTTTGGCAGACTGTCCAGGGCCACCCTGGGAGGGAGTGCAGGGGTGCCACCCCTCCCAGATACCAGGGCTGACTTCCCCACTCCATGGTCCCCAGATTGCAAACAGTCTATGCGCAGTGAGGACGAGGCCAAGTTCCCAACGATGAACCGCCGCGGAGCCATCAAACAGGCCAAAATCCACTACATCAAGAACCATGAGTTTATCGCCACCTTCTTTGGGCAACCCACCTTCTGTTCTGTGTGCAAAGACTTTGTCTGGTGAGAACTGGCCATGCCCACTGGTGGTGGTGCAGGGTAGTAGGGGCCGATCCCAGTCCCCACTCACTCACTTTGCCTGGGTTTTGCCTTTCAGGGGCCTCAACAAGCAAGGCTACAAATGCAGGCGTAAGTGTCTCCACAGGCCAGTTTGTACGTATGTACCCGTGTGTGCTAACGTGTGCCAGTGCCTGTGTGTGTGCCGGTGCCTGTGTGCGCTCAGAGAGTGTATGCACGTGAATTTTCCCTGTGTAGACACAGCAGCTGAGTTCAGTGAGTGCTGGGGCTGGCTTGCTGCTGCTCTGGAAAACCAGTTCTGCGCCTCTCTTCCCAGCTGCGTATTCAGTGACCGGGAATTGGTGGATGGCAATTGGGCACAGTAGAGTATTCACGCAGAAACCAGCCCAGGCCATGCGCCAGGCCTCTTTTCCCTGGAGAGGCAGTGATAGGACCTGTACTAGCACACAGTGGCTGCATGTGCTTCTGTGTAGATGTGGGTGTCTCTGAGTACACAGGTGTGAGCACACTCTCTCCCTGAGGGTGCATGCACGAGGCGCCGCAGGCTGGAGCCAGACTGCCTGGGTTTGAATCCTAGCTCTACCACTTCCTAGCTATAGAGTGTTAGGCAAAGTTACTTAATCTCTCTGTGCCTCAGTTTCCTGATCTATAATTTTTTTTTTTTTGAGACTGAGTCTCATTCTGTTGCCCAAGCTGGAGTGCAGTTGCGTGATCTCAGCTCACTGTAACCTCCCTCTCCCAGGTTCAAGCAATTCTCTTGCCTCAGCCTCCTGAGTAGCTGGGATTACAGGTGTGCACCACCATGCCTGGCTAGTTTTTGTATTTTTAGTAGAAATGGGGATTTTGTCATGTTGGCCAGGCTGGTCTCGAACTCCTGACCTCAAGTGACGTACCCACCTCAGCCTCCCAAAGTGCTGGGGTTACAGGCGTGAGCTATTGTGCCTGGCCCTCATCTATAAATTAGATATAACTATAATGTATAATAGGGTCATTGTGAAGATCAAATGGAGTAAGATATGTAAGGCTGTATTTTAAGTGCCTTCCGCTGGCAGTCGTTCTGTGTAAGAAGTTTGTTATCATTATTACATGTGCTTTGTGTGTATGTACAGGTGTCTGTTTTGAGGCGTGTCCGTGTGCATGTGTGAGAGAGGGCGTTTAGGAGCTGTTTGCTATCCCAGGGCTTGGAAGAGGGAAAGAACTGCCCCCACTTCTCATATTGCGATGCCCTGTGCCCCCTAACTTCTGCCCACCTCCCTGCCCACTAGGACTCCTTCATTTCTAAGCCCCTGCAGATTGGCCTGTCCTCTCCACCCCGTCCTCTCCAGGCCCCTCCTTCGAGGGCTGGCGGGAGGAAGACTCAAGCGCTGGGCCTCTGCGGGGTGAGGGTGTGGGTGGTCAGGAGAACGGTGGCTTTGTGTAGAGGGCTGGACTGACCGGCAGGCACCAGCTCATAGACTCTGCCCCTCCCGGTGCCCTCCCTTCCCCCTTCTGGGCCTGTGCCTCTTCAAGAATGTAACGCTGCCATCCACAAGAAATGCATCGACAAGATCATCGGCAGATGCACTGGCACTGCGGCCAACAGCCGGGACACCATAGTGAGCCTGGGGCTGGGGCAGGGCTGGGATCGGGGAGCTTAGCCACATGGGAGGGATTTACGCCCTCTCCCTGCCCTCCGGGGATAGCTTACCCTCCCTCCCCATTTTTCTTAGTCTTTCCTTGCCTCTCCCAGTGGAGCTCTCTTGGGATGTTGTGCCCGGGGTTGGGGGAGAGCTGGGGGCTGAAGAAGGGGCTGGAGCTGGCACTTGACCCTCAGCCTGTGATACCCCCACCCCCAGTTCCAGAAAGAACGCTTCAACATCGACATGCCACACCGCTTCAAGGTTCACAACTACATGAGCCCCACCTTCTGTGACCACTGCGGCAGCCTGCTCTGGGGACTGGTGAAGCAGGGATTAAAGTGTGAAGGTGCGTGCCACCCCGCCCCTGGGCTGCAGGAGGGGCACTCCCAGCTGGTGCTGCTGTGAATTCCAGCCACCTCACACCGCCCTCGCCCCCTCACCTAGAGATGGGCACCTCATTCAGGGACCTGATGAGGGTGAGGCCTTGGTGGACCCTCCCCACTGGCCTGACTGGCTCTGCCACTTACCTGCTGTGTAACCACAGGTGTGTGGCTCCACCTCTCTGAGCCATTTGGAGGGGAAAAGCAGGACCTAGAGAGTCCCTGTTAGGGGCCAGTGAGCAGAGGATGCTGAAGCCAGGCGTGGTGCACACCAGCAGGCGCCCAGACACGCCTCCACTGCCCTCTGCTTCACTTAGAGATGAGACAGAAGACCCTGGAGGGAAAGCGGCTTAAGTTGACCCAGATGTTCTTTGAAGGGTTTTGAATTAGGTGCCATGTCTTCTGGTTTTTCCTTTTTCTTTAAATCATGAAAGATTGGCCGGGCACGGTGGCTCACGCCTGTAATCCCAGCACTTTGGGAGGCTGAGGTGGGCGGATCTTGAGGTCAGGAGATTGAGACCATCCTGGCTAACACGGTGAAACCCCGTCTCTACTAAAAAAAAATACAAAAAAATACAAAAAAATTAGCCAGGTATGGTGGCGGGTGCCTGTAGTCCCAGCTACTCAGAAGGCTGAGGCAGGAGAATGCCACGAATCCGGGGAGGCAGAGCTTGCAGTGAGCCGAGATCACGCCACTGCACTCCAGCCTGGGTGACAGAGGGAGACTCCATCTCAAAAAAAAAAAAAAAAAAAAAAAAAACATGAAAGATTGAGGTGCTTGGCCAGGCGTAGTGGCTCACACCTGTAATCCCAGCACTTTGGGAGGCCAAGGTGGGTGGATCACTTGAGGTTGGGAGTTCGAGACCAGCCTGGCCAACATGGAGAAACCCCATCTCTACTAAAAATACAAAATTAGCTGGGTGTGGTGATGCATGCCTATAATCCCAGCTACTCAGGAGGCTGAGGCAGGAGAATCACTTGAACCCAGGAGGCAGAGGTTGTGGTGAGCCAAGATCACGCCATTGCACTCCAGCCTGGGCAACAAGAGGGAAACTCCGTCTCAAAAAAAAAAAAGAGAGATTGAAGTATATATGATGGCTTCAGATCAATGTTTTCCTAAAAACTGGAACCCAGCAGACCCCGCTAAAGCCCTCCTTTCTCATGCTCTCCTGCCCCTCTCCTACACTGCCCCCTGCCCTTGGCTGAGCTCCAGGACTGACAGCCCCACTTCTCCCTCACCCCAGACTGCGGCATGAATGTGCACCATAAATGCCGGGAGAAGGTGGCCAACCTCTGCGGCATCAACCAGAAGCTCTTGGCCGAGGCCTTGAACCAAGTCACCCAGGTGGGCAGGTGCTATGGGGACCCTGGACACAGGGCAGTGGGGTCAGGGACAGTCAAGGCTCACAGCCACTGCTGGGGAGCCACAGACAGCCAGGGTATATTTAGACCCAGGACTCTACTTCGGGAAGATCCAACTCAAGAATTTAGGCAGCAGAGGAAGGGGGGCTTTTTTTCATGAGAAATTCATTATTCAAGCAGTTCTTTCCTTGAGAGTGAACCTGGGGACCACAGGATTGGGTGTTGGAACACTTTGAACTAAGACTTTGGGTGTGGACGTTTGTACATGGGTGGGGCTTGAGAGATGCCACAAAACCTAAAGGTAAAATTTTAGAATCAATCAGAAATGAAGCTAAATAGTCCAATAAAATCTATTGAGTGAGTGGTTGGGAAGGTAGGGTTCCGTTTACAAAACTTCTGTTCGTAATCAGAGCCTTTCAGACCACTGAGGCTTCTCTGGGCTCCGGGAAGAGTGTGCCTGTGTACACGCAGCCCAAGTAGGGGGCCTGGGCTGTGCCCCTGTTGTCTCCTCTTGGTATTGAGGGTGGAGTTATACCTGGGGGTCTTCCTTCTGGGCTGGGAGTTCTGATAATGGTCTGACCATCTGGCCCCCCACCTCTGCTCCCTCCCCAGAGAGCCTCCCGGAGATCAGACTCGGCCTCCTCAGAGCCTGTTGGGATATACCAGGGTTTCGAGAAGAAGACCGGAGTCACTGGGGAGGACTCGCAAGGTGAAGCTGGGTCCATTGGCCCTGTACAGTTTGTATTCCCCCTGAGGCCAAAGAAAGGGGACTGTCCTTCCTTCCGTTGTCAAGTGAGACATGGGAGGAACCCCCGGCCCTGGGGAGTGAGCCCCTTCCTCTGTGAGGCCCCTTCCCCCCTGAGGCCCCTTCCCCCAGCCTACCCCGGGCCCTGGGGAGGGGAGTTGTGTAGACTGAGACCCCGATCTGAGGAGGTGCCGTCTCTCGGGCAGACAACAGTGGGACCTACGGCAAGATCTGGGAGGGCAGCAGCAAGTGCAACATCAACAACTTCATCTTCCACAAGGTCCTGGGCAAAGGCAGCTTCGGGAAGGTGAGGGCTGTGAGCCGGGCACCTGCTTCCCACCTCACCCTGGCTGCTTCCCACTTAGGTGGCTGAGGCGGGAGTCTGAATTGGGCTGTGGCCCCTGCCCCGTCCTCCCCTGCTCAGCACCTGTGCCTCCCCATCAGGTGCTGCTTGGAGAGCTGAAGGGCAGAGGAGAGTACTTTGCCGTCAAGGCCCTCAAGAAGGATGTAGTCCTGATCGACGACGACGTGGAATGCACCATGGTTGAGAAGCGGGTGCTGACGCTCGCCGCAGAAAATCCCTTTCTCACCCACCTCATCTGCACCTTCCAGACCAAGGTGCCTGGGCCTCCTGCCGTCACCGCCCCATGCCACAGCCATGTCCCACAGCCCCTCAGCCCCTCTAAGTCAGGGCTGTGTCTCCCCCTCAGGCCACTTAAAGCAGGGCCATGCTTTCCCCCTCATGCCTCCCAGGGCAGAGTTGTCCCCCTCAGCCAGGGCCTGTCCCTGCTGTTTCCTGTTGGGGCTTGGCCCCAGTGGCCCTGAGTGAGGGAGCCTCCTGCCTGTTCCTCACCCCTGCTCACCACCCTCCCCACCCCAGGACCACCTGTTCTTTGTGATGGAGTTCCTCAACGGGGGGGACCTGATGTACCACATCCAGGACAAAGGCCGCTTTGAACTCTACCGTGCCACGTATGTGAGGGCCATGGTGGGGAAGGGCCCAGCGTGGAGGAAGGGCCACTGGCTCAGAACCCACTGCCAGTCTGCCCTCCATGCCTTCTTCCCGCTCCCTAGAAAAGCCAGCCTGGGCTAGAGCAGCAGCTGGGGAGATGTGGGGGTAGCCTGGGTCCACACCACACAGGAAGCCATGGTTGGCAAGTGAGCTGCGGCTGGGGGCTCAGTGCAAATACTCTGGGTCCTGGCCTCTCTGCGGGCCACAGCCAGGGCAGCCTTGCAAATGGTGGTCTTACACGACTCAGGACACCGGACCCTGGTGCATGGCCCCCAGACCTGCTTTTCCCCATTCACATGCCCCCCCACCCCAAACTAACCGTGTGTGTGTGCATGCATGCAAACACATGTGTACATGCATATAAATGCATATACTCTTAGAGAACTGGCTTACTGAGAGCTTTCCCTTCAGAACTTTCTGCCTGGGCTGCCAGCCCCCACTTACCTGATACAAGATGTACTTGATGTACTTGATCATGCTTAGGTTGTCCATGGAGTTATTTGCAGCATTTCTTGCCCCTGGAAGTGGGGATGAGGGCCCGAGGAGAAGCAGAGGCTGCTCGGCAGAGATCCTGGAACACTTTGTCTCTCTCTCTTGCCCAGGTTTTATGCAGCTGAGATAATCTGTGGACTGCAGTTTCTACACAGCAAGGGCATCATTTACAGGTGCAGGGGTTAGGGCAGCGGGGGGCTCTTGGGAGGGGAGGCTCCAGCCCCATCATATCTTCTGAAATGCTGCAAGCAGGATTCCCCCAACTCCAGTTCCTTCTCTGCTGGAAATCAATCTTTAGCTGGGGATTTGCCTAAACCTCCCACCCTGGTGCGAGCATTCCTGTGGCCCCCATTTGAGGCCAGCTTAGCTCCAGGAACTAGGAACTCACTGCCCGTATTTGACACCATCGCCCCGCCCATCCTTGGAGCCATCAGTCTCGCTCGGAAGACCCATCGAGTCATCTAAGCTTCCACTAGAAGAGACTGGTTCCATAAAGTCTCATCTAATAAGTTATGATTCCATCCTATGGTAGGAACTGTACACCCACCAAAAAGGCTGCGGCCAGGCTCTGTGTACTGACGTGGGATAATGCCAAGACACGCTGTTAAGTGAAAAACCAACCTGTGGGAGAGTGTGTATCGAATATTAGCATTCAGGCTTTAAAACGTGGGAGAGAGGCTGGGTGCGATGGCTCACGCCTGTAATCCCAGCAATTTGGGAGGCCGAGGTGGATGGATCACCTGAGGTCAGGAGTTTGAGACCAGCCTGACCAACATGGTGAAACCCTGTCTCTACTAAAAAATACAAAAATTAGCTGGGCATGGTGGTGGATGCCTGTAATCTCAGCTACTCAGGAGGCTGAGGCAGGAGAATTGCTTGAACCCGGGAGGCAGAGGTTGCAGTGAGCCAAGACTGCACCACTGCATTCCAGCCTGGGTGACACAGCCAGACTCCATCTCAAAAAAAAAAAAAAAAAAAAAGGGGGGGGGGCAAGCTGCATGCTGCCATATGCTTGTCCACGCCTAGAATTGCTCTAAGGAGAGCCTGGTGATTGAGCTCAGTGGAAGGCAGACTTTGTACTGTTTGCCATTTCTAGTTCCCATATGCATAAAGTATCTACTCAAATGACTAATTACTGAATATAGACATGGTCCCCACCTTTGGGGAGTAGACAAAACTGAACCTGGGGATCACTTCTGCTGCCGACTGCTAGGGGACCCTGGACAAGTGACATCACCTGTTTGAGCCCCATTTGGGTTTCAGGAAGTAGGGCGGTGTGTGCCCAGCATTTAGCACACAGTAGGGGACTTGCAGGAAGCACCTGTTTTTAGGATCTCTTTCTCCTGCTTCCTTTTCTCTTTCTCATTCCCTTGTACTCTTGGGACAGTCCTGGACTAATATGGCTGAAAATTAGGACATGGCGGGCAGGGTGGGGAAGGAGAAGAAATGGCTCCTGCTGACTCTTACCTGTCCCCTGTCCTTAGGGACCTCAAACTGGACAATGTGCTGCTGGACCGGGATGGCCATATCAAGATTGCCGACTTTGGGATGTGCAAAGAGAATATATTCGGGGAGAACCGGGCCAGCACCTTCTGCGGCACTCCTGACTATATCGCCCCTGAGGTGAGCTGATACCCTTCCATACCCCCGCTCAGTCAGGCACCTTGCCTCCCCACGGTGGGCGGGGGAAGGCTTCCCAAGGGCAGTGAGGTCCAAGCCAAAGCCCATAGGCCGAGGCGGCCTGGCTAGGGCTCGTGCCCAGGGGCCCCTCTCAGCCCCAGCACCTCAGCTCCTGCTGACCTGCTCCCCCTCAGATCCTACAGGGCCTGAAGTACACATTCTCGGTGGACTGGTGGTCTTTCGGGGTCCTTCTGTATGAGATGCTCATTGGTCAGTCCCCCTTCCATGGTGATGATGAGGATGAACTCTTCGAGTCCATCCGTGTGGACACACCGCATTATCCCCGCTGGATCACCAAGGAGTCCAAGGACATCCTGGAGAAGGTGCAGGCCCTGGGCTGGGCTGGGGCAGGGGCAGGGGCTGGTAGACACTGGGCTTTGGGTGAGGAGCTTCCTGTCTCTGGAATGGCAGCCTCAGTGGTGCCACAGCCCTAACATACAGGGTATTGCTCTCTCACCATGTTCCCAGGAACTCCTGTCGAGTCCTGTGCATGGAATCAGCCTGACATGGTGACTAAGGGCCCAGGGTCAGGAGACAGACCCGAGGCCAAACGCTGGCTCTGCTTGGGACTAGCTGGTCACAACCTCTTAGAGTTTGTCTCCTTATCTGCAAAATGAGGCTGTGAGCAGTCTTGCCTCACAGAGTTGTTGGGAAGAAAATAGAAACATACGATGCTCAGCTGTCGGCCAGGCAGATAGTAAATAATAAAAAGTCCCATTAGCAGAGTCGTGGCTGTCCAGCCCAGAGCCTGTCATCTCTGGGGAAACTGGGAGCACTGCATGCCAGAGTGGCCTCCCTCAGCCCCACTGTTCCCCAGGCTGACAGCGGGGCTGGGGCAAGCCTGGCTTTGCATCCCTGGGCCTGCTGGGGATTTGCTGAAGCTCCAATTTCCCATGGCCCTTGGGTGCTAACCTGGGTTGCTGGGTTGCAGCTCTTTGAAAGGGAACCGACCAAGAGGCTGGGAGTGACCGGAAACATCAAAATCCACCCCTTCTTCAAGACCATAAACTGGACTCTGCTGGAAAAGCGGAGGTTGGAGCCACCCTTCAGGCCCAAAGTGGTACGTGATCCTGCCCTGCACTGTCTTCGGGCTGGGCTCCTCCTCCCCTGCCCTCCCTCTCTCCTACATCACTCACACGCTTTCCACCTCTCCCTTCTTCCAGCAAGTCTACTTCCCCGATCTCCACAGCATGTTCAGTCACAGCTGCTGCCCTTGTATTCTCATCCTCTCCCTCCTGACTCAGTGAGCACACACTGGGGACTGTGGATCCCACTGTATGCACAGGACCCTGTTTTGGGAAAGAGAGTTAAAACCTCATGTTATTACTCCATTCAATCCATTCTCCAATACATATGGGGAGTCCTGAGTCCCTGTTGAATGCAGAGCACAGTGCTTGGCTGCACAGCAAAGTGGGAGACACAGTCCCAGAACCGGAGGAGTTCGCAGCTAGTTGGAGAGATAAGAAACTTGCACACCGATGACAATTTGTGATACGAGATGACAGCCTAAGAGATACCCCAGGACACATGATCAGTTGCTATTGAGTGGGTCTGTCAGCAGGAGCCCAGGCGGCAGAGAAGAGGGTGGGTCTGAGAGGCCCCCTTGGAAGAAGTGAGACTAGCAGGGCTGGGAGGTGTGAGAGGCTCCCTTGGAAGAAGTGAGACAAGGGACAGCTGGGAGGCATTCCAGGTGGAAGAGGGGATGGTTCACTCAAAGGCCCAGAATCTACAGGGCCACCAAGGAACCAGCCTGAGAGCAGAGGCAGGTGTGGCCCCTCTGTGACCACAGTTCTTCCTTCCCACTCCCTTTGTCTCCTTTGATTCCCTTCCTCCACCAGGGCACACAGTTCCCACTGGGCAGCCTGTGTAATGCACCCCACATTTGTGCTTTGAGGCTACAGAGCACTTCCCCTACACCAAGGACCTCAAACTCAGACGTGTCCTGGCTGAGCATGTAACTGACAGGCTAGGCCAGCTGCAAGAAAATCACACAGCCTGCTTTCAGTCTCACTTTTGATAGATTTCCTTCTCTGCACTAAGAAACACAAAGCAGGTGTGATGTACCCCTTGTCAGTGGGGCAGGGGCTGTCCAGGGGGCTCTCATCACCAAGAGTGGGCAGGAAGTAGGCCCACGGCTGCTTTAATCTGCCACTTTTCAAAAGAAGCTGGAAATCTGGATTTTTATGTTGCATTGTTCAATTTTAAAATATAGGTTCAGGCTGGGCGCGGTGGCCCACACTAGTACTTTGGGAGGCTGAGGCAGGCAGATCACCTGAGGTCAGGAGTTCGAGACCAGCCTGGCCAACATAGTGAAACCGTCTCTACTACAAAAAATACCAAAAAATCGGCCGGTTACGGTGGCCCGTGCCTGTAATCCCAGCTACTCAGGAGGCTGAGGCAGGAGAATCGCTTGAACCCGGGAGGCGAAGGTTGCAGTGAACCGAGATCATGCCACTGCACTCTAGCCTGGGCAACAGAGTGAGACTCCATCTCAAAATATATACATCAATAAAAATAAATTAAATAAATAAATAAATAAATAAATAAATAAAATACAGGTTGAAATTCCATTAAAACCCAGTTCAAGCTGAAATGATTATACTTGCCAGTTCAGTTTGGCCAAAGGGCCACCAGCTTGCGGTCTCTCTGTGTGACCATCCCATCACATCCTTAGAAGCAGAGAATCAGCAAATTTCTCCTGTCAACAGCCTGATAGTATATATTTTGGACTTTTCAGGCTTGATGGTCTCAAAGCAGTCACAGACAGTACATCAACAAATGGGCATGGTTGTGTATTACAAAAGCTTTATTTATGGAAAGTGAAATTTGAATTTCACCTAATTTTCATGTCTTGAAATATTTTTCTTTTGTTTTTTTTTTTCCAACCACTTAAAAATGCGAAAGCCATTCTTAGCTTGTGGGCCCCACAAAAACAGATGGTGAGTGAGATTTGGCCTCCATGGGCTGTGATTTGGTGGCCCCTGAGCAGGAGGCTACCACCTCTCCTCACCCAGGCCCAGAGCTCCCTGGTCACTTTCCTCCTCCTCTTGGGGAAATGGCAGCCTCTTTCCTGTGGGGCTCCTTTTAGGCTGCTAGGGGAGGCTCCCTCTTCCGTTCTGGGTGAGGACAGCTCTGGCCTGGCCCAGCCCTGCAGGGACTCCAGCCTGGGGTGTCTGGAGGGCCATTCCCTACGTCCTGTTCGCTCACCCCTGCCCTCTGCTTGTAGAAGTCCCCCAGAGACTACAGCAACTTCGACCAGGAGTTCCTGAACGAGAAGGCGCGCCTCTCCTACAGCGACAAGAACCTTATCGACTCCATGGACCAGTCTGCGTTTGCCGGCTTCTCCTTTGTGAACCCCAAATTCGAGCACCTCCTGGAAGACTGAGGTTCCTGGACAGAGCAGGCTAGCCCCACCCTCCACCCACATCTGCCCGCTCCCCACGATAAGCACCAGAGGGACTGTGGTGACTTCTGCTGCTGGCCCCGCCCCTGCCCCCAGAGCGGCCTTGGCTCCTGTCTGGCCAGGCTCTCATGGTACTTCCTCTGTGAACTGTGTGTGAATCTGCTTTTCCTCTGCCCTCGGAGGGAAATTGTAAATCCTGTGTTTCATTACTTGAACGTAGTTATCTATTGAAAATATATATTATATATATAGACATATATATAAAAAATAGGCTGTATATATTGCTCAGTAGAGAAAAACCATGGGGGACTGGTGACATGTTGATCTTTTTCAAAAAAATATATATACGACAAAAAAAAAAAAAAAAGGAGCACAAGCTGTTTGAACCACCAGGTTCTTTTATTTGTGTGTCTAAATAAACACCAAATGGTACCAACCTGGTTGTCAGGACACATTTGTCCCAGGAAGCTGGTGGCGGCCACTCCCACTTTTGGCAGCACTGGCCCGGAAGCTAACTGCTGGGCCTTCATGCAAATGTGTTTGTATTTATGGGTTTCCTCTGGCCCAGGACCCTGGGCCTAAAGCAGAAGACTTTTCCAGGTGGCTACAGGGAGCCCCAGATGTCTCTGTGGGGTGATGGGCCAGCTGTAGCTGTCTCTGGAAGGGCAGAGACGTAGAAGGCATAAGCAGAGGCTTTGAGGCTGGCCCCAGATGAGGGAGGAGAGGAAGAAAATACAGCTCAGGCTTCAGGCATATCTGGATTTAAATCACAGAGTAGCCAAAGGATGTGGGCACGTCACTTGATCATTTTAAGCCTCAGTATTGGGTGGGCGTGGTGGCTCACACCGATAATCCTAGCCCTTTGGGAGGCTGAGGTGGGAGGATTGCCTGAGCCAAGGAGTTTGAGACCAACCTGGACAACATAGCGAGACCCTGTCTCTTTAAAAAAAAAAAGAAGGAAAAAAGGCTCAGTTTCCTCTAAAATGGGGGCAAGGCAAGGAGACCATAGCTGTAACTCCTCATCTCATTACCATTTATCCCTGCCTTTGCCGCAGAGGAGTCTGTGTCTAAGTTCTAGAATCTATATCATAGCAGCTTTTGCCTACCTGGGGAAGGAGACACAGGCAGGGTGGGAGAGAAAGGTGGAAAAATGATGAGTGACTGGGCCAAGGTTGACAGACGTGCTCCAGTGTGCCTGTCGTGCAGGTGAGGAATGGCTCCAGGAGACCAGGAGGCGCCGGCATCCCCCCTGAGTGTGCTCAGCTGGAGACAGTGAGTCTACTCTGCCCTCCTCCCCACCGACTCCATGTCTCCCCCTCTCCTGGCTTTTCATTGCTTCCGCCTCCCTCACTACCTCTCCCTCTTTCTGTTCCCGCCCTGCTGTCTCGGGCACCGGTCTCAGGCAGAGCCTGCTCTTCAGACCTTCTGGTCTAGCCCTGGCCCTCTGTCCCTAGAGGGGGGTGAGACACTCCTAGCACCAGATTGGCTGGCCTGGGCAGCCAAGCAGCTGACTTCCAGCAAGTTCATTTTTCTGGGCTTAGGTACAAGTTTCCACAACTGGAGAGGGCGGGATGGTATGGGGCTGGTGCTGGCTCAGGGAGGGGGCTGCAGGGATGGGGGCCAAACTCTCCCCAAAGAGACCAAATGTCCCCTTCTCCCCACCTCCTATCTTAGGAAAACTTCCTCTTGAATTCCTGCTCTGCCTTGGGCCAGCCTGGCTGTCCAGGACAGCAGGGAAAACCTCAGAAGTGCTTGTCCCGTGGGCTCACAGGTGGAGGAACTGGCAGCATGGCATGGGCTCTGTTCTGGGACACTGGGGCTGTAGGAGCCCAGAGGAGGTGCCTGGGGGCCCCCTGTTCCCTGCCTCTGCCACAACATACACATTCCCCAGGAACCCCACGGAGCCATTCAGAGGGAGGTTAGAACAAAAACGTGGTTGGTGTCTGAACTCAGAGCTTCCCAACATCCTCCTGAAGCACCAAAGTGGAGCCTTGCACCTCAAGCCCAGTTTTCTCCAGTGTGGAACGGGGGAATAGGTTGTTTATCAGCCAGAGGCAGTGGAGGGTGGTGGGAAGAACATGGTGCCTGGAATCAGAAGCCTGGGGTTTGAATTCCGCTCTGCCGCCTACATACCATGCACTCGAGTTCCTTCATGGGCCTCAGTTTTGTCATCCGTAAAACCAGACCATTAATCCCCTGCCTCATGGAACTGACTCTGGCGGGCCCTTGTAGGACTGTTGCAGATACTCAGTGGTGCCAGGCAGAGCCCAGGAAAGGACAGGGGCTGTGCCCGTGAGGTCCACCTCAAGCAGCCCAGGACAGGAAGCAGCTGCTAAGGACACTGCCAAATCACCTGGGAGGCTACACCATTCCAGGCCGGTTCCCAGCCATTGGGTGGGTGCCAGGCCTGATCCAGCAGCCTCAGGAAATGCCTCTTATGGCTGGGCCCTGAACCACACTTTCGCTGGGACCTGGGGACCCTGAAGCAGGCAGACTGCCCTCTGCCTCCCACCTGCCAAGTAGGTATTCGAGCAGCAGCCAGCCTGGTCCCCCTGTGCAAGGACCAAACAGAGCTGGGTCCCCCATCAGTGCTGGGCGGAGCGACATGGGTGCAGGAGGCCCTGAAGGCAGGAGCACGGGCTTGGCTACTAGACAGCCCTGGGTTCGAACTGTGCATGTCCCTGGTTGTGTGACCTCAGTAAATGACTTAACCTTCCAGCACCCTAACTTCCTCTACTGTAAAATGGGGATTGCTATGATGGCTGCTGTGGACTGTGACGATGTCTCTAAGTGCAGGGCATGAGCTCAGCATGCACTAGGTGCATAGGAAACAGCAGCCACTGTGACCCCATGCTCCGGTGGGATGAAACATGCTCAGGAGAGCAGACCTGTCCACTGCACACTGCACTTCGAGTGCAAGCCCTCTAACTGGACTCTAGGTGGGCAGTTAAATGCACCCACCCATGACCCAGTGGTGCCTTTCAGGCAGAGCTACCTGGGAACTTCACCCAAGGGCCCCAGGAGGCTTGCCAGGAAGTCCACCACTGCATGGATTAATTGGGAAAAACGGGAAGCAAGCAGAAGGCCCAGCAGCCAGGGAACTGGTTAAATACTCTCCTGGCGTGGAAAGTGGTGCAGGGCCAAGTGATCAGCAAAAAGAGCCACTGAGAGAATCAAAGATGCAGCCAGATTCTACCCTGTGGTTCCATGGGCCAGCTCATGAAGGCACCCAAAGTCTCAGGCACAGGGAAGGGCTGCAGAGATGAAGGACGGAGGGACGGACAGATGGATGGATGGATGGGTGAATGAATTAATGAATGAATGAATGGACTGTCCAGACCCCAGGTCCCTTTAAGGCAGTGGCTCTCAAATTCAGCATGTGCTGCTGGTCCTGCGTCAAGTTCTAACCAGCGGGTCTCAGTCCTGGTTGTCACTGGAAGCTGATGCCAGGCTGCCCTGGTCTACGGTGATCTGCGGAGGGCCCGGGCATCCGTACTTTGAAAGCTGCCCCCTGCGGTCCCACCTGCTCCAAGATCCAGAGCCAGTTGGGGAATCTGCATTTTGCCCAGTCACCCTGGTGAAGCCAGAAAATGCTACTCTGAACAGGCCACACCTTGGAAGGCGAAGTCAACCGCCTGTACAGCCCAGCCGCGGCCCGCAGAGGCCCGAGCACCCGCTCCGCAACCTGCGCGCCGCCTGCGCGGAAGACCACGGGCGGAGGATTGGTGGCCAGGAAGGGACAGTACGGAAAGCATGCGGCCCCAGCTGGGCTACAGCGCCCTCTGGCGGCCAGAAGGCTCGCGGGCGCCGCGGAGGCCGCAGACCCCAGCACGGGAGGACCTCCGTGGAAGGGAGCGCTGGCTTTCCCACTACTCCCTGGGGAAATATTTCAACAGAGATACTGGGGGACCATTTCGGAGAGGTTCAGAGATGTGGAGGTTACAGCTAGACAGCTCCCTGGTATTTTTAGAATCTCTAGACGGCCCTAAATTCAACCATTCCAAGGTCACAGCCACATTCACCCATTTATTATTTATTAATTTATTTAGAGATAGGGTCTTGACCTGTCACCCAGGCTGGGGTGCAGTGGTGCCATCACAGCTCACTGCAGCCTCGACCTCGTGGGCTTCTCAAGCAATCCTCCCACCCTCAGCCTCCCGAGTAGCTAGGACCACAGGCATGTGCCACCCTGCCTGGCTAATTTTGTATTTTTGATAGAGATGGGGTTTCACCAAGTTACCCAGACAGGTCTCAAATTCCTGAGCTCAAGCAATCCTCCCATCTCGACCTCCCAAAGTGGTGGGATTACGGGCGTGAGCCACCACGCCCATGAGCTCACTGTGCACCTGCTTCTTCCTTGGCCTCCCTCCAAGCTGGATGGGGTCTTCAGCTCCCTCCTGCACCCTGACTGTGCCCAGCACGTGACCCCGGACGACTACCCTGTGTGATGCCAGAGGCTGGGGAGCTGGTTGTGGTTTCCTGAGTCCTGACCATCCTCCCAGGCACTTTATCTCCTTAGGTTGGGGCAGGGCGGGAGATACATGCAGCTGAAAATATAAGACCCAGCAGCAAAGAAAGGGAATGGGGACAAAGAAAGGCCCCCAAAGGTAAGAGCCAGGTCTGAGGCAGCACAACTCAGACCAGGCCAGACGTGTGAGGTTTGGGGCACTCCTTGGGTATAGTTGTCAGATTGAATCAGCCCTTCACATAACCTCAGTGATTTAAGTCTTCAGAACTTGAATGCCAGCTCTGAAATCAGGCTTCTTAAGTGGGCCTTAGAAGTTTGATATGGTTTTGCTGTGTCCTCACCTAAATTTCATCCTGAACTGTAGTTCCCATAATCCCCAGGTAATCGTGGGAGGGACCCAGTGGGAGGTAATTGAATCATGGGGGTGGTTACCTCCAGGCTGTCCTCATGATAGTCAGTGAGTTCTCACGAGATTGGATGGTTTTATAAGGGGCTTCCCCCACCTCATCCCCCCCGCCCCGCCCCACTTCACTCTGCGCTTCTCCTTGCTGCTGCCACGTGAAGGACGTGTTTGCCTCACCTTCTGCCATGACTGTAAGTTTCCTGTGGCCTCCCCAGCCATGCAGAACTGTGAGTCAATTAAAACTCGTTCCTTTATAAATTATCCAGTCTCAGGTATGTCTTTATTTTATTTATTGTTTTGAGACTGAGTCTCACTCTCACCCAGGCTGGAGTGCAATGGCACAATCTTGGCTCACTGCAACCTCCACCTCCCAGGTTCAAGTGATTCTCCTGCCTCAGCCTCTTGAGTAGCTGGGATTACAGGCATCTGCCACCACGCTCGGCTAATTTTTATATTTTTGTAGAGATGGTGTTTCACCATGTGGCCAGGCTGGTCTTGAACTCCTGATCTCAGGTGATCCTCCTGCCTTGGCCTCCCAAAGTGCTGGGATTACAGGCATGAGCCA